ATATACAAGTGCTTATTTGAGCAGGTTAATGTAAAGAGAAGCTGGAAGAAAGATGCAATGGAATCTATATTAAATCTGGAGATGATCCTGCGGGTTTATGGACAAGATCCTATGAAAGCGTACAAGATCCTACAGGAATTCTATGGAATCCTTATCAGTTCTGGAAATGATCCTAGAGTATTATAAAGAAGATCATGTCAAATCCTATTGGATCATACAGTATCCTAGAGAATCCTATAAGATTGTACAGGATCCTATTGCTTGGGGATGGGATCTTAGACAAGCGTTAAAGGACTGCACAGGACTGTGTAAAATTTTAAACAGTGGAATCATACAAGATCCTATAGGATGTCATAGGATCCCAGACAAAATCCTACAAAATGGTTAATAATTTTAGTCAAGATGCTATTGGATCTTAGAGGACATTTTGAACGACTCAAGAGCATACTGTCAATCTTGCTTAGGAAACCCTTATCAACCCTGAAAAAGATACTACAGTATTACAGACAAACTCATATGAAATTCTACGGGATCTTAGAGAATTCTATAAGATCGTATAGGATGGTACACAAAATCCTATGGAATCGTCAACAATCTAGGCAAGATGCCATAACATCTTACACAAGAAGCTAAGAATTTATTCAAGAAATAAACAAGTGCTTATTTGAGGAGGTTAATGCAAAGAGAAGGTTTCAGAAAGATAATATTGGATCTTTATCAAATCTAAAGAAGATCGGGCCAGGATAATAGAAAAGATCCTATGCAATCGAACAAGATCCTACAGGAATTCTATGGAATCTTAATCAGTTCTGAAAAACATCCTACAGTATTATAGACAGAATCATATAAAATCCTACAAGATCCTTGAGTATTTTAGAGAATCCTTGAGATCGTACAAGATCCTAAACAAAATCCTATGGAATCACCAACAATTCTAGACCAGAAGCTATAGCATCTTAGACAAGAAGAAATTTTTTCCGAAATCTTGGTAAGAAACATGGTAAGAGTTACTACCGGAATTTTGGTAAGAATTATAGCGGGAATCTTGAAAAGAATCCTGGCGAGAATAGCTAAGAAAACCTAAAGAATTCCTAAAGGAATCTTGATAGAAATAACTACGGGAATATTGGTAAGAATCTTGGGAAGAATTACTAAGGAATCTTGCTAAGAATCTTTGTAAGAATTGCTACGGGAATCTTGGTAAAAATCTTGGTAAGAATTACTACTTGAGTCTCGGCAAGGATCTTGGTAAGATTTATTAAGAGAATCTCAGTAACAATCTTGATAAGATGTACTAAGGAGTCTTGGCAAGAATCTTGGTAAGAATTAATACGAAAATCTTAATAAGGGAATCTTGGTAAGAATGTTGTTAAAATTTACTAGGAGAATCTTGGCAAGAAGCTTGGTAAGAATTAATGCGGAAATGTTTGTGAGCATCTTGGTAAGAGTTACTATTGGAATCTTGGCAAGAATCTTGGTAAGAATTACTACTTGAGTCTCGGCAAAGATCTTGGTAAGATTCATTAAGAGAATCTTAGTAACAATCTTGGTAAGATCTACTAAGGGAATCTTGGCAAGAATCCTGGTAAGAATTTAAACGGGATTCTGGGAAAGTCTCGGCAAAGAACTTGGTAAGATTTATTAAGAGAATTTTAGTAACAATCTTGGTAAGATCTACTAAGGGAATCTTGGCAAGAATCTTGGTAAGAATTCAAACGGGATTCTTGGAAAGAATCTTTGTAAGATTTATTCAAAGAGTCTTCCTAGGAGAATCTTGGCAAGAAGCTAGGTAAGAATTACTGCGGAAATCTTTGTAAGAATCTTGGTAAGAGTTACTGCTGGAATCGTGGCAAATATCTTGGTAAGAGTTACTACTGAAAGAATCTTAAATCTTAAATCTTGAATCGTGGTAAGAGTGTTGGCAAGGATTACTAAGAGAGACTTGGCAAGAATCTTTGTAAGAATTACTACCGGAATCGTGGTAACAATCTTGGTAAGAATTATTACGGGAATCTTGGTAAAAATCTTGGTAAGAATTACTACGGGAATCTCAATAAGAATCTTGGCAAGAATTACTCAGGGAAACTTGGCAATAATCTTTGCAAGAAATAGTACGGGAATCTTGGCAAGAATCTTGGCAAGAATTATTACGGAAATCTTGGTAAAAATCCTTGTAAGATTTACTAAGGGAATCTTGGTAAGTATCTTGTTAAGATTTACTTAGGGAATCTTGGGAAGAATCTTGGTAAGAATTACTACGCAGATGTCGGGAAGAATCTTGGTAAGAGTTACTACGGATACTTGGCAAAAATCTTGCTAAGAGTTACTAGGGAAAACTTGGCAAGAATCTTGATAACCTTTAGTAAGGGAATGATGGCAAGAATCTTGGTAAGAATTTCCATCGTAAATCTTAACAAGATTTTAACCAAGATTCTTTTAGCTATTTTTTTAAAGATTCCCGGAATAAATCTTACCGAGATTCCGGTGATTATTCCTACCAAGATTCCTTCCAAGATTCCCGTAGTAATTGTTACCAAGATTTCCTGACTAAATCTTACCAAGACTCTCGTGGTAATTCTTGCAAAGATGCGTAAGAAGATTACAGTAGGGATTGTTACCAAGATTCTAGCCAACATCCCCGTAGTAAATCTTACCAGAATTCTTCCCAGAATGCTTTAATAATTCTTACCAAGATTCTTACCAAGATTATCGTAGTAAATCTTACCAATATTCGCGTAATAATTGGTGCCAGGAGTTTTGCCAAGATTCCCGTAGTAATTCTCACCAGAAATCTTGCGTAGATTCCCGTAGAAATTCTTTAAAGGATATTTCCCTTTCTTAAAAAAATCCTATGGAATCCTCAAAAATTATAGACAAGATGCTTTAGCATCTAAGTTAAGAAATATACAAGTGTCTTTTTGAGCAGTTTAATAAACAGAGAAGGTTTAATATAGATCCTAAGGAATCCTTATTAAATCTGGACAAGATCCTGCAGGATACTAGATAAGATCCCTGCAATCGTAAAAGATCCTACAGGAATTCTATAAAATCCGTTTATGGACAAGATAATATAAAAACCTACAGGATCCTACAGTATCCGAGAGAATCGTATAAGATAATACAGGATCCTATGGGGTGGGTATCAAATCTTAGACAAACATGAAAGGACTCCACAGCACTCTGTAAAATTTTAACAAAGTGGAATCATACAAGATCCAACAGAATCTCACAGGATCCTAGACAAAATTCTATAAATTCGTTATTAATTTTAGTTAAGATCGTATGGGATCTTAGACAATGTTTTGAACGACAAACGATGCAATCATACAGGATCCTACAGTATCCTAGAGATTTCTATAAGATCGTACACGATCCTATGGCATGGGTATGGGATCTTAGACAAGCATCAGAGTACTCCACAGCACTCTTAAATTTTAAACAAGTAACTTTAGAAAAGATACTATGGGATCTTAGACAAGATTTTCAACGACTCAACAGCATCTTGTAAATCGTGCCTATGGAATCCGAATAACTCTGGAAAGGATAATACAGTATCAAAGACAAGATCATATGAAATCCTACAGGAGAATCCTATAAGAATCCTATAAGATCGTACAGGATGCTAAACAAAATCCTATGGAATCCTCAACAATCCTAGACAAGATGCTATAGCATCTTAATTAAGAAATATACAAGTACTTATTTGAGCAGGTTAATGCAAAGAGAAGCTGTAAATAGATGCAATGGAATCTATATTAAATCTGGAGATGATCTTGCGGGTTTATGGACAAGATCCTATGAAAGCGTACAAGATCCTACAGGAATTCTATGGAATCCTTATCAGTTCTGGAAATGATCCTAGAGTATTATAAAGAAGATCATGTCAAATCCTATTGGATCATACAGTATCCTAGAGAATCCTATAAGATTGTACAGGATAGTATTGCTTGGTGATGGGATCTTAGACAAGCGTGAAAGGACTCCACAGGACTATGTAAAATTTTAAACAGTGGAATCATACAAGATCCTACAGGATCTCATAGAATCCCAGACAAAATCCTGCAAAATGGTTAATAATTTTAGTCAAGATGCTATTGGATCTTAGAGAACATTTTGAACGACTCAAGAGCATAGTGTCAATCTTGCCTAAGAAATCGTTATCAACCCTGAAAAAGATAATACAGTATTACAGACAAACTCATATGAAATTCTACAGGATCTTAGAGAATTCTATAAGATCGTACAGGATGGTACACAAAATGCTATGGAATCGTCAACAATTCTAGGCAAGATGCCATAGCATCGTTAGACAAGAAGCTAAGAATTTATTTAAGAAATAAACAAGTTCTTATTTGAGGAAGTTAATGGAAAGAGGAGGTTTTAAAAAGATCCTATTGAATCTTTATCACATAAAAAATCTAAACGGGAAACTTAATACGAAACTTGACAAGAACTAGTAAGGTAATGCTGGAGGAAGTTAGTGCAAAGAGAAGGTTTCAGAAAGATCCTATTGAATCTATATCAAATCTAAAGAAGATCGTGCAGGGCAATAGAAAAGATCCTATGCAATCGTACAAGATCCTACAGGAATTCTATGGAATCTTAGCAGTTCTTAATCAGTTCTGAAAAACATCCTTCAATATTATAGACAGAATCATATAAAATCCTACAAGATCCTTGAGTATTTTAGAGAATCCTTGAGATGGTACACGATCCTAAACAAAATCCTATGGAATCACCAACAATTCTAGACCAGATGCTATAGCATCTTAAACAAGAAGAAATTATTTTAGAAATCTTGGCTAGAATCTTGGTAAGAGCTACTACGGGAATTCTGGTAGGAATTATAGCGGGAATCTTGAAAAGAATCCTGGCAAGAATAGCTAAGGAAACCTAAAGAATTACTAAAGGAATCTTGGTAGATATAACTACGGGAATCTTGATAAGAATCTTGTTAAGATTTACTAAGGGATTCTTGGGAAGAATCTTAGTAAGATTTACTACCGAGATCTTGGCAAGATCTTGGTAAGAATTACTAGAGGAATCTTGGTAAAAATCTTAATAACATTTACCACGGGAAACTTGGCGAGAATCTTGGTAAGAATTACTACTTGAGTCTCGGCAAGGATCTTGGTAAGATTTATTAAGGGAATCTTAGTAACAATCTTGGTAAGATTTGCTAAGGTAATCTTGGCAAGAATCTTGGTAAGAATTAAAACGGGAATCTTGGAAAGAATCTTTGGAAGATTTATTCAGGAGTCTTGGCAACAATCTTGGTAAGATTTACTACGACAATCTTGGCAAGAATATTGGTAAGAATTAATACGAAAATCTTCATAAGGGAATCTTGGTAAGAATGTTGTTAAAATTTAGAAGCTTGGTAAGAATTACAGCCGAAAAATCTTTGTAAGAATCTTGGTAAGAGTTGCTACTGGAATCTTGGCAAGAATCTTGGTAAGAATTACTACTTGAGTCTCGGCAAGGATCTTGGTAAGATTTATTAAGAGAATCTAAGTAACAATCTTGGTACGATTTAGTAAGGGAATCTTGGCAAGATTCTTGGTAAGAGTTACTACTGGGATCCTGGCAAGAATCTTGGTAAGAGTTACTACTGAGAAAATCTGATATCTTAAATCTTGAATCATGGTAAGAGCGTTGACAAGGATTACTAAGGCAGACTTCGCAAGAATCTTTGTAAGAATTACTACCGGAATCGTGGTAACAATCTTGGCAAGAATTGCTACTGGAATCTTAGTATGAATCTTGGTAAGAATTACTACAGGAATCTTGGTAAGAATCTTGGTAACAATTAGTACGGGAATCTTGGCACGAATCTTGGTAAGAATTACTACGGGAATGTTGGTACGAATCTTGGCAAGAATTACTAAGGGAATCTTGGCAATAATCTTTCAAAGAAATACTACGGAAATCTTGGCGAGAATTTCAGCAAAAATTACTACTTGAGTCTCGGGAAGGATCTTGGTAAGATTTATTAAGAGAATCTTAGTAACACTCTTGGTAACATTTACTAAGGGAATCTTGCTAAGAATCTTTGTAAGAATTGCTGCGGGAATGTTGGTAAAAATAATAGTAATAATTACAACGTGAATATTAATAAGATTTTACTAAGGGAATATTGACAAGATTCGGATTAATTCTTGTGGGAATCTTGGTAAGAATCTTGGCAAGAATCTTGGTAAGAATTACCACAGGAATCTTGGCAAGAATCTAGGTAAGAATTACTATTTAACTCTTGGCAAGGATCTTGGTAAGATTTATTAAGAGAATCTTAGTAACAATCTTGGTAAGATTTACTAAAGGAATCTTGGCAAGAATCTTGGTAAGAATAAAAACGGAGATTTTGGAAGGAATCTTTGTAAGATTTATTAAAAGAGTCTAGCTAGGAGAATCTTGGCAAGAAGCTTGGTAAGAATTACTGCGAAAATCTTTGTAAGAATCTTGGTAAGAGTTACTACTGGGATCTTGGCAAGAATGTTGGTAAGAGTTACTACTGAAAGAATCTTAAATCTTAAATCTTGAATCGAGGTAAGACTGTTGGCAAGGATTACTAAGAGAGACTTGGCAAGAATCTTTGTAAGAATTACTACCGGAATCGTGGTAACAATGTTGGCAAGAATTGCTAATGGAATCTTAGTGTAAATCTTGGTAAGAATTACTACAGGAATCTTAATAAGATCTTGTTAAGATTTACTAAGGGAATTTGGGTAAGAATCTTGTTAACATTTATTACGGGAATCTTGGTAACAATCTTTGTAAGATTTACTAAGGAAATCTTCGCAAGAATTACTAGCGGAAAGTTGGCAAGATTCTTGGTAAGAACTACTGCTGGAATGTTTTTAAGAATCTTGGCAAGAATTACTACAAAACTCTTGGTAGGGATCTTGTTAAGATTTACTACGCGAATCTTGATAGAAAACCTTGCAAGAATCTTGGTAAGAATTACTACGGGAATCTTGGCAAGAATCTTGATAAGAATTTCTACTGGAATGTTGCTAAGAATATTGGTAAGAATTACTAAGGGAATCTTGGCAATAAACTTTGCAAGAAATACTACGGGAATCTTGGGAAGAATCTTGGCAAGAAATATTACGGAAATCTTGGTAAAAATCCTGGTGAGTTTTACTAAGGGAATCTTGGTAAGTATCTTGTTAAGATTTACTAAGGGAATCTTGGGAAGAATCTTGGTATAAGTTACTACGGATACTTGGCAAAAATCTTGGTAGGAGTTACTACGGATACTTGGCAAAAATTCTTGTAAGAATTACTACGGGAATCTTGGCAAGAATCTTGGGAAGAATTACGACGGGAATGTTGGTAAGAATCTTGGCAAGAATTACTAACGGAATATTGGCAAAAATTTTTGAAAGAAATACTACGGGAACCTTGGCAAGAATGATTACGGAAATCTTGGTAAACATCCTGGTAAGATTTACTTAGGGAATCTTGGGAAGAATCTTGGTAAGAATTACTACGCAGATGTCGGGAAGAATCTTGATAAGAGTTACTACGGATACTTGGCAAAAATCTTGCTAAGAGTTACTAGGGAAAACTTGGCAAGAATCTTGATAACCTTTAGTAACGGAATGTTGGCAAGAATCTTGGTAAGAATTTCCATCGTAAATCTTAAGAAGATTTTTACCAAGATTCCTTTAGCTATTTTTACAAAGATTCCCGGAATAAATCTTACCGAGATTCCGGTGGTTATTCCTACCAAGATTCTTTCCAAGATTCCCGTAGTAATTCTTACCAAGATTTCCTGACTAAAACTTACCAAGATTCTCGTGGTAATTCTTACAAAGATGCGTAAGAAGATTACAGTAGGGATTGTTACCAAGATTCCCTTAGTAATTGTTGCCAGTATTCTTACCAAGATTTCCGAAGTAATTCTTGCCAAGCGTCCCGTAGTAATTCTTACCAAGATTCTCGCCAATATTCCCGTAGCAAATCTTACCAGAATTCTTGCCAAGATGCCTTAATAATTCTTACCAAGATTCTTGCCAAGATTTTCGTAATAAATCTTACTAATATTCGCGTAATAATTAGTGCCAAGAGTTTTGCCAAGATTCCCGTAGTAATTCTCACCAGATATATCCTGCGAAGATTCCCGTAGTAATTCTTAAAAGGATTCTTCCCTTTCTAAAAAAAAAATCCTATGGAATCCTCAAAATTATAGACAAGGTGCTGTAGCATCTTAGTTAAAAAATATACAAGTGTTTTTTGAGCAGTTTAATAAAAAGAGAAGGTTTAATATAGATCCTAAGGAATCCTTACTAAGTCTGGACAAGATCCTGCAGGATCGTAGATAAGATCCTATGCAATCGTACAAGATCCTACAGGAATTCTATGAAATCCTATTATAAACAAGATCATATGAAAACCTACAGGATCCTACAGTATCCGAGAGAATCGTATAAGATGGTACAGGATCCTTTGGGATGGATATCAAATCTTAGACAAACATGAAAGGACTTTACAGCACTCTGGAAAATTTAAAGATAGTGGAATCATACAAGATCCAAGAGGATCTCACAGGATCCTAGACAAAATCCTATAAAATCGTTATTAATTTTAGTTAAGATCGTATGGGATCTTAGACAAGATTTTTGAACGACTAACGATGCAATCGTACAGGATCCTACAGTATCTTAGAGAATTCTTTAAGATCGTACGGGATCCTATGGCATGGGTATTGGATCTTAGACAAGCATCAGAGGACTCCACAGCACTCTTAAATTTTAAACAACAAGTAACTTTAGACAAGATACTATGGGATCTTGGAGAAGAGTTTGAAAGGCTCAACAGCATCTTGTAAATGGTGCCTATGGAATCCTAATAACTCTGGAAAGGATGCTACAGTATCAAAGACAAGTTCATAAGAAATCCTACAGGATCCTAGAGAATTCTATAAGATCGTACAGGATGGTACACAAAATGCTATGGAATCGTCAACAATTCTAGGCAAGATGCCATAGCATGTTAGACAAGAAGCCAAGAATTTTTTTAAGAAATAAACAAGTGCTTATTTGAGGAAGTTAATGTAAAGAGAAGTTTTCAGAAAGATCCTATTGAATCTTTATCAAATCTAAAATCTAAACGGGAAACTTAATACGAATCTTGTCAAGAATTACTAAGGTAATCTTGGCAAAAAACTCGGTAAGAATTACTACAGGAATGTTGGTAAGTATCTTGTTAAGAATTACTAAGGGAATCTTGGTAAGAATTGCTACGCAAATCTCGGGAAGAATCTTGGAAAGAGTTACTACGGATACTTGGCAAAAAAATCTTGGTAAGAGTTTAGGAAAACTTAGCATGAATCTTGATAACCTTTAGTAAGGGAATGTTTGCAAGAATCTTGGTAAGAATTTCCATCGTAAATCTTAACAAGATTTTCACCAAGATTCCTGTAGCTATTTTTACAAAGATTGCTTGAATAAATCTTACCGAGATTACGGTGGTTATTCCTACCAAGATTCCTTCCAAGATTCCCGTAGTAATTGTCACCAAGATTTCGTGACTAAATCTTACCAAGATTCTCGTGGTAATTCTTACAAAGATGCCTAAGAAGATTACCGTAGGAATTGTTACCAAGATTCCCTTAGTAATTCTTGCAAGTATTTTTACCAAGATTCTAACCAAGATTTCCGAAGTAATTCTTGCCAAGATTCCAGTAGTAATTCTTACCAAGATTCTCGCCAAGACTCCCGTAGCAAATCTTACCAGAATTCTTGCCAAGATGCCTTAGTAATTTTACCAAGATTCTTGCCAAGATTGTCGTAGTAAATCTTACCAATATTCGCGTAGTAATTCTCACCAGATATCTTGCGAAGATTCCCGTAGTAATTCTTAAAAGGATTCTTCCCTTCTTGAGAAAATCCTATGGAATCCTCAAAAATTATAGACAAGATGCTGTAGCATCTTAGTTAAGAAATATACAAGTGTCTTGTTGAGCAGTTTAATAAAAAGAGAAGGTTTAATATAGATCCTAAGGAATCCTTACTAAATCTGGACAAGATCCTGTAGGATACTAAATAAGATCCTATGCAATCATTCAATATCCTACAGGAATTCTATGAAATCCTATTATAGACAAGATCATATGAAAACCTACAGGATCCTACAGTATCCGAGAGAACCGTATAAGATGGTACAGGATCCTATGGGATGGATATCAAATCTTAGACAAACATAAAAGGACTCCACAACACTCTGTAAAATTTTAAGAAAGTGGAATCATACAAGATCCAACAGGATCTCGCCCGATACTAGACAAAATTCTATAAATTCGTTATTAATTTTAGTTAAGATCGTATGAGATCTTAGACAAGATTTTTGAACGACTAATGATGCAATCGTACAGGATCCTACAGTATCCTAGAGAATTCTATAAGATCGTACAGGATCCTATGGCATGGGTATGGGATCTTAGGCAAACATCAGAGGACTCCACAGCACTCTTAAATTTTAAACAACAAGTAACTTTCGACAAGATACTATAGGATCTTAGACAAGATTTTCAACGACTCAACAGCATCTTGTAAATCGTGCCTATGGAATACGAATAACTCTGGAAAGGATGCTACAGTATCAAACACAAGATCATTTAAGATCGTACAGGATGCTAAACAAAATCCTATGGAATCCTCAACAATCCTAGACAAGATGCTATAGCATCTTTATTAAGAAATATGCAAGTGCTTATTTGAGCAGGTTAATGTAAAGAGAAGCTGGAAGAAAGATGCAATGGAATCTATATTAAATCTGGAGATGATCCTGCGGGTTTATGGACAAGATCCTATGAAAGCGTACAAGATCCTACAGGAATTCTATGGAATCCTTATCAGTTCTGGAAATGATCCTAGAGTATTATAAAGAAGATCATGTCAAATCCTATTGGATCATACAGTATCCTAGAGAATCCTATAAGATTGTACAGGATCCTATTGCTTGGGATGGGATCTTAGACAAGCGTTAAAGGACTGCACAGGACTGTGTAAAATTTTAAACAGTGGAATCATACAAGATCCTATAGGATGTCATAGGATCCCAGACAAAATCCTACAAAATGGTTAATAATTTTAGTCAAGATGCTATTGGATCTTAGAGGACATTTTGAACGACTCAAGAGCATACTGTCAATCTTGCTTAGGAAATCCTTATCAACCCTGAAAAAGATACTACAGTATTACAGACAAACTCATATGAAATTCTACGGGATCTTAGAGAATTCTATAAGATCGTATAGGATGGTACACAAAATCCTATGGAATCGTCAACAATCTAGGCAAGATGCCATAACATCTTACACAAGAAGCTAAGAATTTATT